TTGTAACTCCTAAATTGATTGCAGGTGAAAAGGGCAATTGTGCAGCTATGTGTGGCCTTATCAGATCATGCCTACGTTGATGCCGAAGGTGGCGATCATGTGACGGCATTTCTTGTACGAAATCTGGTGCCACCATCTGAGCAGGAAGTGCAGGTAGGCGAGAACCCTTCTTACATATTTAGTCCTTCACGATTGGTGTCTTCTGTACTGTTCGAATAAATCTATCCATTCTAACAGCAGGCTCGTAAAGTTGAAGTGGATGTAGCTGGTTTAAACCAACTTCGTACCCAGTGTGGTCAAGCACTTCATACGATTGCAAGCACATGTGTCTGCGCTAAAAAGGTTAGTTTGAACTATGGAGTACATTTCAAGAGAAGGTATTTTCAGCTATTGCTTTTGTTTGTCACATATTGTAAAATAAACTTCAGTTGCTTTGGCCGTACCTGTTCGAATTCATATGCACGGAGCGCTACTTCTCAGTTGTGGGAGATATCTGCAAATGTTTACGAACGTTAGCTACAAGAGAATTGCAAGACGGAAAAGAACTGGATTTCGAGACTGGATTCGATAACGGTTTGTGGTACAGTCGCTTTCTTTTGTGCCGTCGAGACTTATTTAATGCGATTGACCCATACAGTGCCTGGGGGGGGGGCAGCCTATGTACAACCAGTGCCATCGTTCTCTCAGACGATTTGGTAACAATTACCGTCCCGTAGGATAGAAGGTTCAGTTGGCTCTGCCGAGAGCCAGTCTGAACCCCGGAACGCGCGCATGGTAATGGGGCCACTTGCCATTCTACCACCTCTGCCTCCATTATGGTGAGAAAGCATGCTAAGGTGTAAAGCTGCACTTTAATGAGTGGTGTTTTATCTTAGTCTGAAGACACGTATGGATGTGTCGGTAGGGTGCCTAGGGACGCAACATGCTGCCGTCTAACCTCGTAACGTTGTCTTAGTTAAAGAGCGAAAACAGATGCGTATTAGTAAGACATCACTTTCTGGCGGCGCTCACGCCGGAAAGGTCATCAGGTCACCCCGGCCAATTTCAAATGAGGCGCTGCCACCGTTGTATCTCTTGGGAAGCGGTGAGTCAGACTGTCATCAAATTTGCAAACGATTCTCTGAAGGGAGTATGGCGAAGGGTTTATCTCCCGACGGTCGTTTTCACATGGGCCTGAGGCGAGGGAAACGGTGGAAACGTCTTTACATTTACGAATGGAGTCTTCTGAACGTGGCCACAAGGCGCGCAAACCGTGATAGCAATCGGGTTTACTAGGCGAGACGCGTCGTAGGGTTCGGTTCCCGGGAGGCGTCAACAGTGTGTTGCATTTGTCCAAGAGCATGGCGGTAACACAGCTTCATAATCATTTCGCCATTGAGATATCGACCCTGCATCATCTCTGCTGGTATAGCGAAACTCGACACACCTTTTTTTTAAAGTGAGACTCCCGAGTTATGGATTGGAAAGAGTGCTACGCTGCTTGCTCCCAGTGCCCCGTGAAGCACTATTGGTCATAAGGATCTTTTGTCGCATGATAATATAAGGTTGAAAAAAGTCCTGTCAGGTGTTTTTTGAGGACTTAGATCTCTACTGTTTTCGATCTCGGAAAGGCCGGACGGATGACGTAACATCTTAATCGTTAGTAGAAATCATTCTCGAAGGCTTTTCTCACAGAGGTATACTCAAGCGCCTCCTGCTCTTATCCCTGTTTTTTATGATTGTCATTTCAACTGACACAGCTTCGAGTAGAATTCAATCTTACACGCAGTGGCAGGGCCGGCGGCGCACTGGAGCGACGGCAGGCCGTAACATCAACTGTGCATTGGGGAGGACACCACCAAACCGTGCGCAGGACTAGTCCACCGTTGGGTTGCGGCTCGCGTTGCGCGAACGAAGACTGACGATCTTCGAAAGCAAAATCGTCTAGGACTGCCATCCCAGCTAGCGCGTAAAGAACATTACGCACGTTCTCGAAAGCGTCAGAGCAGGATCCAGAGGCTACCACCGCAGTAATGCGATAAGCAGGGTGTAGCCATACAACAGCTCTGAGCCGCCTTCAGGCCCTTGGCTACAGAAAAATCCTCACGCGATGGATACCTCATGCTCTAACAGATGGCACGCGGTATGCCAGGTGAGCATATGTCGATCACTCCTTCTACACCGTAACCGGAAGGAGTTTCTAGAGGATATTGTGACTGGAGATGAAAGCTGGGTCCTCTATGATTCCAACCTACGTCGTGCCGTGTGGCTCCCTCGAGGAGACAATGACCCGTTACGCAACGACACAGATCGAACCCTGCACTCCAAGAAGGTCCTCCTCTGCTGCTTCTGGGATTCGAAGGGCATGCTGCACCACGAGCTGCTTCCGCAAGGGCATACGGTTACCGCTACCGTTTACGCCGCCCAACTCCAGAAACTCGCGCAAGCTCTTCGAGAAAAGCGGCCGAGACGAGCTTCGGTGCACCTCCTCCATGATAACGCCAGACCACATGTGGCTAAAGAGACCCACCGCCAAATTGAGGAGCTAGGCTGGGAGACCGTTCCCCATCCACCATATTCTCCAGACCTAGCCCCTCCGACTACTACTTGTTCCGCTCCCTCAAGGCTTTCCTAGGTAAGAAAACCTTCAGCGAATTTGATGGCATCAATCGAGAAGTTGCCTACTTCTTCGACTCGCAGCCTCCTCAGTTCTGGGAGAAGGGGATAGCTGAGTTGCCCATTAGGTGGAGCACTGTAGTGGCTAACAATGGCGATTATATTATTGATTAGTTTTTATTTCATTTTTGGAGTGACAAAAACATAAAAAAAGAAAAAATCACAACAGTGACAGGACTTCATATTCCAACCTCATACCAGCCATCGATATTTCTCCATGCAACTGGCTCAATAAGCGGCAGGTTAAAATTACTCCTCTGCGAGACAATTCTAAGCCGACATATGAATAAAGTTCGACCTCACTTGAATGTGGCTTATTCATTTGAACGGTAAGAGCAGCAGAAGTGGAGCTTACCGTACCATCGATGAACTCAAACGCTTTTCTCCGAATGAGAAACTAGATCCTCGGGAGTGGGGATTATCCTCGCCCGATAGACAAGAAAATGATGCAGACGGCACAAATAAGTAAGCCAGGTACTGTTGTTGGCGAAAAGACATGATTGAAGAGTTATTTCAGCTTGAAGACCAAGTCGCTCATCCAAGTCATGGCCTAGCCGTAGTATGGGCTGTCACGAGCGTATCAGTCAGTCAGTCCACCCCTCTATATCTCCATTTTTTCGAAGTTCCAGTCAAACTCGGATTTTGGTTAACTGGTGACGTTCCTAGTGTAAATTTGTGACGACCCTTCATCACAAATATCGTAATTACTCCGCTTTGCGGGGAAAGAGCGGCTTGAGTCCGCTAACATTGCCCAACGCTTCGGCGCCAGCGCGCCCGTAAGAAGAAAAACAGTAAAGAAAAACCTCCATAACTCCGCTCAGAGAATCGTTCTGCAAATTTTGAAGACAGTTCTGAGTTCACCGTGTCAAGATGAGTACAGTGATGTGCATCTCATTGCAAATGGCCAGGCTGACCTGTTGACCTTTCCTGGTCAGTCGAGCGCTGTCAGTAACCGGAAAAGAAATAAACACCAGTCGAAATAACTGAACAGAACCCATATGATTCATTTCGTTTCTGACCTCAGACGAACCAACATCAGTGAAAGGGTCTAGATTTCGAAAAAAAAAACAGTGCGTTCGATAGAAATGTTTTCCGAGGCTACGAGCGGCCGGGGGATTGCCAGATAGAGTTACGCGTTATCTTTAGGACAATTATCGGTAACTAAGCGATCCCCCGAAGACACGATATGCGGCGGTATGAACTTCGATGAAAACTACTGTTTTAGTTCCTAAAGTTCCATCAATTTATGTCTATGCCTTTCGGTGCCAAAACGGTAGTATATGTGTCTCCACATAGCAAGGCGAGCACCGTAAATTTGATATGGTTGTGTATTGAGAAACATCAAAAAGCATTCTCCATGCAGGGTTAGTGCTTGTTTCATTTGCAGCACGGTGTGAGCAGGCAAACCTATGGTGGTACCGGACGATATGTAGAGCGCGAGCTTAGGCTCTTTGCTGTATCGTTTTTCTTGAGCAAGTGGGGTCTGGGACTGTGCAATAACTGCGGACCTCCTAGCAGAGAGCATGGTAGTTGTTTTTTAGTTGTTTCTTGTTAATAAACTTGACCAAATAATACATCAAAGTTTTCAGGGAGAGTTATGGCTTGATGCGCGTATTGGGCTCATGGTTTCATCCATCCATGCCGGAAGTATTCGAGAAATGGTCAGATCGTATGGAATCTCTTATGGATGGTGGGCGTCACTAACACATCTTTTTTGATAACATCCAGTTTATGCAACTGAGTGCGAAGCCGTGGGACTGGGTACACTACGGAGCGCTTGCATAGAAGCAATTTAACTTGATATCTTCGCAGTCCGACGAAAACGCAGCCTAGGTTGAGCTCATTAAGTGCCTAGCAATGTACGGTAGGATTGTTACGATATCAACTATAATTGTCACAACCGTGTTGCAACTAGATCTCTCCAGTCCTGCCCCTGATGCAGAGTTGCCTAAACTGGGTTGCATGTTCACTCAAAACTAACCACGTGTCCTCTGTTGTTTTACACTATCCCGTGTAACTCCCCGAGCTAAATTAAATCCTTATCCGCATGTAGCCGTTGCCCAGCTTAAAATTCATTTTCCGCCGAAATTGTCGCCATACGGAAGTAGTGATTTGTTGATAAGTAAACTGCATGCTGGGTTCAAGTGCAGGGAGAATGGTCCTGTCTGTCTTGGAAAACTTGCATTTACTCGCCCTGGGAAACTTGCAATTACTCGGGCCGATAGTCATACCATATAAATTGGTTTTTCTGTGTTCCGGCTCTTTCAGGTTCATTTCAACTGACCCACCTTAAAGTATTCGTTTTAAGAAGTGTGCAGCACGTCCTTGCCGAGTCCATCAGGCGAATGTTCACCAGCAGTCGAGTTGAGAGGACGCCGTATAGCGAGGTGGGTTTTGCCAGGTAAAAACGACTCCATCTAGTCAAGTAGCTCTCATTCACATGCCCTCTCACGCGGTTTTGTGTGAGTGCTGAAGCAAAACTCTTCCAAACCTAATGAGGCGACGTTTTGAGAGATTTCAATCGAAATCAAGAGTTGATTTTACTCAGTTAATGTCAGGGGCTTCCCTTTTTTACTTGATCTGAATGCTGATACCTGAACTTTGTTTTTTATACAGGTGGCACGAAGCATGTCTGGAAATGTTGTCGGCTTGTATGTCTGTTGTAGTGGATGGTGAGTGGCGAATGAGCTTGGCGGCAACTATGGGGAAGCAGCTTGATTTGTACAAGGACTTTCCTGAAGAGAAGGTAAGTGATTTTACTTTGAAAGTAACTCAGAAAACTGTTCACTGTTTGACAAAGTATGGAAAAATGGGGGGGGGATACGCGGTGTCTGATCATCACACAGTCACAGTCTGGCGATCTTTCACCGTCCTTTTCTCCCATACTCTCTCAAGATACTAGCGCCGATCGGTTCCTGTCTGTGGCTACATTCTCATATATAGCATTAGCGCGGTTGCAATGGTAAGGCGACCACGCGCGTCAAGGGCGTCATCGCGAAGTATGAACGCTGCCCGAGGTATACGTCTGATGTAAAAAAAGTGAGACTCCAGCTGTTTAGCTTTTTTCCTACGTGTTTTTCTTTTGCATTTCCCGAAATCTTCTGAGAAAATGAGTATCCTGTTCTGAGAGTACTGAGCAGTTTTTTTTTGCTTTTTTCTCGGCAAGGACAAGCAACTCTTCCACTTTTCCTCTACTTCCTCTTTTGAGCGCCACGGCCCACAGTTGAGCTGTCTTCCAGAAGTCCTAAGATTGGTGTTCTTTAGGCGTTTCTTCTGCGATGCCTTGGCACAGCGTTTCTTCTGCGATGCCTTGGCACAGCATTGTCTAAAATTGCACTGAAGCAATTTGTTGTCGATCACCTCATGCTGATGTTCAAGTGAGTGACCTACTTTTAGCCAAGTTGCTGCCTATTTTTTCTTGATTTGCGGCTTATACGGTTGAATATTGTTTTTAGATCTACCCAGCATAATATCCCAACTGAACGGCAGGGATGTGCACGTGGTGTAGGAGCGTGCGCTTCATCACATATGGACTTGGTTCTAGTAGAGCTGGAGAACGTCTCCAAATGGGAGCATGCAAAGAAGAGCTCGGGATTCTTCGGATTCATCAAGGTGGAATATTTCTACTGTTCGAACTGGAAGAATAGCGGAATATTTGGTAAATATTTGAAATTTCTTCAGGACGCGATGCCAATTCGTCAGTACACCGACACGGAAATGGTCTTATTACGAGCTAGTCTTATGCTGAGTTATGGATATGTCGTGCAAGCCTGTCCACTCGATACGCTCACACAGCGACTTCAACAGACAATCATCACATTCTTGAGGCATTATTTCGCGAATAGCAAGGTACTTTTTGGATAATCTATGAGTTTTTAATGATTTCAGATGTGTTGCTTACTTTGAGAGGAATCATTTTCATGCCTCTGCTAGGAGTTCTGTTTGCTACTGAGTTACCTCCGCTTTTAGCTAAGCTATGAAAATGGGATTCTAATGAAAATGGCGCAATAGGAAAAAATTGATTATATTGTCACAATGAATAAGCCGAAGCTACTCAGACCCGTTTTCGCATGCTCTCTCTAGAGGCTCGCAGATGTTTTTCCGAATGACAATTGATAGTTGTCCGAGATGAGAAAAAGGATGAAGTCTTGGCCGCCAATCGCCCTTTTTGGGGTGCGGCACGCCGTCTGCTAGAATAACAATGTCCTATTGAATGCGTTGTGACCTACACATCAGTATTTTTATCCTCCCAGACAAGTCGGAAGTCTTGGTTTCTCTGGCCGGGAGTCAGTCAGGTATTGGATCCAAGGGGCGCACACGTGGTAAGCAGAACCCTTGCCACTACGGCACCCTCGCCTCGATATCCTTGATTCGGAGATTAGATGACTGCATAGCACAACATTCCTAACAGTATTCCTTATTGCTCCCATTTCAGCAAGAAACTGTTGTTCGTGAGGCGATGCTTGAAACCATGCGGCTAATAGCCATTTCCATACATCCATCAAGACTACCTGGAGACTACAGATTTGATGCTCGAAATGAATTGATTGGATATATCAAGGTGAGCGAGAACCTAATTGAATTAACTACCCTTATTTAGAAATACTTTTTCCTTTCTGCTCGCAATGAAGATTTATTTCTATTTTTTTTATTATAGTTTATGTCTCTTTTCCTTGTGCTGAACCCAAAAGCGAATAACGTCATTTCACTTAATTCGCTCTTTTTCAAATTTTTGCTAGACCGTACCCATATTTTGCTAATGTTGTTCTGGATTTCAGGATTACGTGCAAAGCGAGACACCTGAAATGCTGTCTAGCTCTCTCCGGCTACCTGGCGGCAAAAGCTACTGCGGCTCTTGTGTGAGTCATGGGTTATCTTGCTTCTATGCTACTGTTGCTACCATTGCAGACGCCTCGAACCTGCTCTGAGTGACGATGATGTTTGGGATTTGGGTTGTGTATTGACGCAGTATATTTTGCCCATGTGTCGTGAAAAGAGCGGACTAAAAACGGTGAGTGTGGCCCTAACTTTCAGGCTGCGTTTCATGCTTTGCATAAGCGTTTGTACGCCAGCGTTTTGAGCGCTGCGAGCTTACGGCAGCGTTTTGAGCGACTGCCTGCGAAAAGCTCAACAGCGGACCGTTCAGAACGCTCGCGTACGCGGGATCGATACATATTCTATCGTAAATGCTCAGAACGCTTCAAACGTGCCGTACGCTCAGAACACTGACGCAGAGCCGCTCTTATGCTGTTATAGTGAGCTGTAATCGGTAGAATTTCATAGGTTTTACCAAAGAGACACGTTGTATCCGTTGTAGAGATGTCTTGCTGTGCAATTGCTAGGTGCATTGGTGTGCATTTCTTTTCGTTCCCCAACTCCCTTTCACTCACCTTAGGTTTTGTCACAGCTCTCAGATCAGTTCATTCATCAGTTTTTTCTTTCTGTAATAATGAAAGCTGTCGCAAAGTCTGACTATTAAAAAAGCTTTGCCTATTCACCTATCTTCGGCCTTTCGTTTTAGTTGGCCTATGACTTGTTCGACTACGCATCGACGTCGATTTCATCGTTTACGTCGTCTAGTAGCCGTGCCAGTACAAAGAAGGTATGCTGTTTTTAAACACTTCTCTACCATGTTTCCTCTACCCTTTAAGTTGCTTGCTTCTTTAGAGCTTCTGCACTGTTCTTTCTTCTCCTTAACATAGCTCATTTTTTGAAAATCCCCAAATAGCCACTAGAATTTGCTTACCGGCGCAGGGCTTCTTGCATTTCTTCACTATGGCTTTTGCAGTGCTATCAGCTTCGCATCCCACTTAATTCTTCAAATTGTCAGTCGCTGCCGGACAGACTCCCTGACATTTTCTCACGGAATTCCGTCTTCATAGATTGCAACAAGGGGCGATGCCTAACAAGGCCCTGCGTGGGCGCGGGGCTACCGCTTGAGGGAAGAAGAAGGATCTTGTGCTTCGTCATCCTGTGCGAAGTCAAGTTCTTTGATGGTGCACCTCATGAGCAGACTGTCTCTCCCCTAACTGACCTGTCCCTGCCGAGGGAAAACTTTTTTTGGAATACTAAGGATGCAATGAATTCTGTGTATCGAAATGAGGATCTTTTCTTCCCTTTCGAACTTTCTTCACGTCAATGAAATATAACTAAAAAAGAAATAAGAATTATAATTGACAAAAGAAAAGAAGAACTGATTATTCAAAGGTGGTATGATTTCTGCATCCACGAAGTGGAACAAGGACATTTATCTGAAAGTGTTGAAACTGGGAAATTTTGAAAAAAAAACTTATCGGTCGTTGATATTTTCAAATGTAATATGATGACAGCCTGCCCCCCCCTTAGTAGCGCTTCTAGTACAGTTGACTTTCTACAGCGGTTCGTGGTTGGTGATGGTAGAAGTTTAGCGCTTCTCTTAAGTTCCCAGCTGGAACCCGTTAGGAGTGATTGTTGAATAAATCTGCAAGTTAAGATTGATGATGACGAATCCGCGACAATTATGGATGCTACGGTGGCGCAATACGGAAACGCACTGGAAGCGATAGTCGAAATGCGACCGACCGTTGGTACAGTTACACAGCTGCTGAAGGTTCGTTGGATTGGTGTTATTAGTAACTGCTGTTCTACAATATGCACCCACATATCCCAGAACTGTGGAGGGCGTGGCTGCATACTCCGCTTGAAGTCAGTGTAGGATGTGTTTCGTGGGATATTTTTGTTTAAGACAATGGTCTTGCTGTCTGGTGGTGGACAGAGAATTGTTCACAATGTCCCAGAGCTGTATTATCCCACCAGCTGCTGTCACATTTGAATGAATACGCATCCGCCTCCTCTGTCTCTGGGATATGAAGTGAAATGGATGTACTTCCAGATGCTGCTGCCTTATTACGGAAAACTGGCTGAACATGAACGTAGCAGGTCGATAGATGCCACTGTACAAGTTTTACGTGTGTATCTGGACAGAGCTGAGGATATAAGCATAGGAGTGAGTGTTTTGGTAGGCAGAGTTCAGACTTCGTCACGCGACGCGCGTCAACCCGCTACCATTGCATCAGCGCTTAAGCGCTATTGACCGAAATGGCGTCCAAACGGGCTCGATCTGCACCGACTTCATTGTTTTGGGTAAGCGTGGAGGAACAGAAGAGTGCGAATTGCCCTATCTTGTATCTGGCACCCTCCTATGTTTCCATACTCTCCCGAAACACTAGTGGTGCGCCTCAAAAAACACCCGTCTTTGGCAGCGTATATGTCTATGGTATTGGAGCGGTGTTGCAATGGTAGCGCGTCGATGCGCGTCATCGCGAAAGCTGAACGCTGCTGCAGTGTTCCGGAGGAGATAACGATGTTCGAATCACGATTTTCAGATAGCGAGTGATTTTGGACCGTTGTCATCGTTGTTAGCCCGACTTACTCCTCGTTTGGTTGATTCGTTGGCGCTTGTACGTCATCAGTCTCTTGTGGCTATTCATTACGCATTTCGTCTTGCTAATGCGTATAAGGTATGCGATATGAGCAGAACAGACAAAGTCGTTAAGCGACTGAATACCGTATATTTAGGGCCATGGCACGCTCACAGATTCCACACTGTTCAGAATTGATGAATTTGCCCGGACGTATCTGAATAATGAAGGTCGTCTCGATGTTAATGATGCTAAGAAAGCAATAAGGAAAATGGCGGAGGTGAGTGGAACATTCCTGAAATGGTTTTTCCCCGTTTACTGGCTTCATGACCTTGAGCTGCTGGTTAAGGTAATAGAGTCGCGCTTACCACAATGCCAGATGCAGACCTATCTGTCAGCGCTATTCGAGATGTTGACAGATCGTCAGAGTCAGGTACGTTTACTCACATTTTGTAGGTTTTGACAGAGCGCGGTCCATGGTCTTGCTGTAGTTACAACGAGCGTAGCAGTTTTGAAGGGTATGACCCTGATCGGTGTCAGTTACCTTCTTTAGAGAGCTTCGGAAAACAGGATCCTCCCACTCCCCCCTTCCACAAAATAACTACAGGCCCTTTTTCTCGAAATTTTCCGGAACTTTTTTAGTTTTTACCAAAAACTTTTGTCTAGCGGGAGGGGATATATAGCGCTTGTGAAAAGTCAACAACTGCTAGGAATTTCTTAGAGGCTCGGGGCAACTTTTTTCCGAAGGCGAGTGTTTTAAGGCTAAAGTGCAATTCTAACCCACAACCTCCCTCGTTTGTTCATGCGGTAACCAGTTTCAGACCAGCATGGTTAAATAGAGACCAGCTTCGCTATAAATATTTCTTGCGTAAGACTAATGTGCATCGGACCATCGTAGAAGCTACTTCACCAACCATACTGCAAACAGGAAGCACATTTGAACATTCAGGTCTCGTCAGCTGCCGCTCAGTTGCTCACATATGCCCTGACGTGTCGTGGAGCGGTTCTTGTCCACGAGGTTGCCTGTTTTTTTTGGTTCACCTGCAGCAATTTTCAGGGCGATTACTTCCTTTTTCAGGCTGATACATTGGTGACAACAATACTCGCTCGATTACCAGAAGTGCATTCCTGTGTTCAAACGTACACCGATCTGATGGCAGCTCTTGTTGCATTTGCCACTCATCAACAAACGGTCGTGTGTGATGTGATGTTACGCCAACCGCTGCCGTATTCTGTGTTAGTTATTATACTTTAATTCGTGAGCTTTTACTTAAAAAAGTTTTACTGAGGTTCTGGCTTCAGCACTGAAAGGATCTTTTCGGCGCGCTTTCCATCGATGTGCCAGCCCGTCTAGGTAGCCTTTTCGAGTGACACCGTTCAAAAGATAGGTAGCTAGAGACGATCTTCCAAAGATGGTAGCTAGACGATCTTGCTCCATCTTCACATAGAGTTCAAGAGCGAGATAACGGGACTAGGGAAGCAATGGTAGTACACAATGCCCCCGGAAACAGCGCCTGTTTTCTGTGATCTTGTGCGTGAGCATTCATTGGTCAGGGTCAGGATACGTGCAGGTTCAGAAAGAGTCCGCAAAGAATGGTAATTTCCCCCTCCCTCCACCTTTTCTAAGTGAATTTTTGCTCTCATTTGAATTTCGTTTAATGGGTGGAACGTGCAGCCATGCTGAATAGGCACGAATAGTAGGTGCACCTAAGGTACGATACTTTGCAGTGTTCACCTGTTGTTGAACACCTCATTTTTCCATCTTGTCTGTATATGCTAAGCATAATCAGCTACTTTGTTATAGGCAGCTTTTGGATGCGTGGGAATGCTTGTCCAGGGAACGGTCGTTGTTCCGTGAAACACTCTTGATTATCTTCTGGAACTGCTAACAGGCGCGCTGGAACATCCGTATGACGTTATGGATACTGGAGGCGGTAGCTCTGTGAAGATAGTTCACGTAGAACCGTGCCAGTATACAGCTGCTATTACGGAAGTTATCAAGGTAGGTCGACGTGTATTCATATAGAAAAACTTAGATCTCTTATTCTCAGACTGCCTGAGCTATATTTGCCCGACTGGCGCAGTTCCGATGGGGGATAGAGCAGGTATTTTGCGCTTTCGCTACTTCCCATCGTCGTGTTTATTGCTTTACAAGAGGTCGCGTTCATTTTCTTTTACAATATTTGACTGGTCATCTCTACAATATTTGGCTGGTATAACTTCTTGGCTACAGGATTTTGCAGGTCTCCTTTTGAGAACTCGATACGTTGATGGGAAGGAGCAAAAAATGCAAAATTCCTCCCCCCGCGGAAGCCTGCGGCTCCCAGTTTCATGCATTAACGAATAAAACAAATCCTGCTGAGTTAAAACTTTATGCACTGGAGAAATTCACGTATTCCTTTCAGCACGGAGAACCAGAATGGACATTATATGAGAGAGTACCGGTGCTTATCGCCGCAATGTTTCACATGATTTGTAGCGTTTCGGATACGCAGTTTCCAGTGGTTGTGAAGGAGAATAAGGACGGTTGGTTGAGAGATTCTGACACTCTTAAAATGCAATCATTTTGTGGCTTTCTATGTCTGACGCTTGCTGTATTAAGGATCGAAGCAGCCTCTCATTATAACTCCTGAGTTGAGACGTTCTGCTGAGAGACCTGCAGGTTTGGCTGTGGCAGCGCTCAAGACGCTGTTATCCCATGTTGTACACGTTATCAGAAACACAGCTCCAGTTGCCTGAAGAATTGAATTTCCGTGCGCGAGGTAGCGTAAGCCCGCTCTAGGCAAGACTCTTGCGCTCCCCTCCCGCCCCTTCCCCGTTCAGAATGCCGGAAGTTATGCCAATGAATAGCTTGATTCACTGATGTCTCCGTCCGCCATTCCATACGCGAACGTCACAGTCCGTCACGCCATACCGCCAGCCAAAGGTACGCATGATTGCTGGAGGCTGGCGTTTGTCACCAGCGCTATTGGTGGAAGGATAGCGAGAAGGTATTTGGCCACCCCCCCCTCCTTCCCTCCCCCACTCAGCATTTCCTCCAGTATGTCCACAACCGCGCCACCTCCAACCATCGTGCCCATGCCTTTGAACCCTTCCATGACTCTTATCTGGACTTTCTAACAGCCTTTCCAGAACTATGTCAACAGCTGTCATTGAGGATATGAATCAGGCGAGAGGATGGACGGAATGCCTTGACCGAGAGTTATTCATAGGCGCGGTTGGTATTTTCAACGCTTGACTCTTTTATAGGGGTAGTTCGGTGACGAAGGGTATTTTGCACGTTTGCTACATCCTGTCGATGCGTCGACCCATCTAGGCAGCCGTTCCGTGAGCTTGCAAGTGTTGTAGTCTTATCGTGGTCGCTGGACCAGCTTGCTCCTTCACAAGTCACAATTCACCAGAGTAAAATTGTAGACCGGAAGTAGGGATTCAGCAAAAGTAAAATACTCCCTCCCCCGTCGCCGAACTGTACCTTCACACGTCAGTTCTAATTACTAATCACTCTTCAAGTAGGATACCTATCAGAAAGAATTGTCTTACAGATTACAGTATTGGTTCGTTCTTTGGTAGAACACCGACCAGAATGGGTTGGATTCGCTAGCAAGAAGTGTGATGGAGAAGTCAAGCCATGAAAGAGAACCGATGCGCCTGGCAGCTGTGATTGTGTCTTCAGCACTTGTGAAGAAGTAAGGTGTTCTGGTTTTGCCAAGTCAAGGTGATCCTCCTGTAGGCTTACCGCACACTGCTTGTTGATTATGGGCCGCTACCCGGTTCTCCTGCGTGCTTATTGTTTTGGCAACTGTGTGAGAACCTTCAGGTCAATCGACCGTTTTGGTTGAGGCCAAGACGCGGGAGTGACGCAAATTCCGCTCCCGCAATGTAGCCATGTGCTGCCTAGGCGAAAACAGAGTAGCGTTGTGCGCACTTGTTGCTGTCACGTACTCAATCTCATGCGCAGTTTAGAATACTGTACCTTCCATGTTTTCCTAACCTTACCTATAATAATATCTTTTTTTTTCGCTGCGCCATCGGTATATCCATATTCCCGCCGGTTATATTTGCATTTGTTGGCCCCAACATTCACTGTACTGCGTGTCGAAGGCTAGCGGTAAGCATTACAATATTGTGAACGTGACCACAATTTCAGATGTCCGGACTCCAATGGGGACTTCAATGAGAAATTACTTATTGACAGTGTACGGTTGCTGGAGAATTCTCTCACAGATCAGAGCTTGCGAATACGAAAGGTGAGCGTATGATTCATTTTTCATCATTTTTGCAGACGATCTCGTTATTTTGATTTGCCTCTTTATTCAGCTATGCGTCCGTGGCTTGGGTGAGCTATCCGAATGCTCATCGGAATCGATCGCAGAACGGTTCGCGAGCATTGCAGTTGAAGCTGCAATGGGAGGCCTTGATGACCTTGGAGACAAAAATGATACGGTACTTGGTTACGGATGGAAATATAAAAGAGTTTTCAGTTTGGTTTCATACGGCAGTGCGTTATTTAGGTAGCAATGGAGTCAATAGTGGCTTTGAACAAGCTCGTCTCGAAGACGAATGACGCTCAGCTGCATTCGATACTTCGTCAGGTTCTTCTGAAGATTCGTCCATGTTTTGAGAAGGTGAGCTTGTCTTCTCTTCCAGTCTCACTCATATTCAGTACTTGACTCCAGCAGTTCATAAGGTCCAGTGGGGACCAGCTATTGAAGCTCTCAATGGCTCAATTGCAATTTCAGGAATCGGCACCATTACGGGCAGCATCGTTTAGCCTCTTTGGCGAGTTGGCTGCTCGTATTGGTGGCGAAAACGAAGAATTTATGTCACATCTTCACGCAAACATCGTCGCGCTTCTCCTGCATCTCAACGATGAGGACGAAAACGTGAGAAAGGTACGTGAATAAAGCTAATTTCTAGGCTTCAAGGTATCTTGTACGTTTCAGGCATGTAGTACGACATTCAATCAAGTACACCCATTATTCAATGTGGGAACCTTTTCGTCGGTTGTCGAAAGGGAAATGAAAGGTGGCAGATTACCGGCCAGTTATACGGCAGTGCAACGGGATCTGGCTAGTGTTTTGGTCAGTTTATTGCTGAAAGCTACTCGAAACGGGCTACTCGTAAGGATCCCAGCTCAGATCACCCAGCTGTCCGGTGGAGTACCCGTTCAAAACTTCTTCTTAGGAACCCTTTGATTGATATATTGCTGCAGATGCTGGGGCTAGTCAAAGGACTGGGTTTGGCGCGGCGCCAGCTCCTTTCCCACCAATTGTTGACGCTTGCACACTTCAAATTTTGCTGGATGGCAGGCTGGCGTCCCGAAAACCCAAACCCCTGGATACACCCAGCACTTTTGGTAAAAACCGGCAACTTTTGGATAAAAATCGGTAAATTTCCCGTAAAAGTGGTAGGAGGTTGGGAAAGTTTAGGAACTGCGTAGGTAGAATAGGGAGCGATCGTGCCAGATTAGTTTTTTTTGGGAGTGGGGCGAGCTGTACAGACAGCGGCAATTATTATATTACATCGCATTGCTGTAACTGGTAGATGCGCATGTGTGTGTTTTAGAGAAGATCTTTTTTTTATTCTACGAATTATCCTTCTTTCTCACTGCATGGTTTAGGCGATTTATCCATTTCCTGTATCGAGTGAAAATCAATACGCGTGACAGTGCAGTAATTACTTCAAAGTTCGTAAATGGGCACGTAATCGGCGAGCGGAACGCAAGCGCCTTTTTGACTGGTCTATCTGGGCAGTTTTGAACACCACAATGGCGGGCCATCATCAGCAAAGATCTTGTATTCTCGAGTCGTTTTGGCTTTTCAGTTTGATGATTTTGATACAAGGCATTGTTTGTATGTTACAATGCAACATTTCAGGTCTTGTTCTGCTTCTGCGAGACCCAGAAGATGTGAGCGTAAGGATAGCTGCCGCCAAAGCTGTTGGAAGCCTCCATGACTTTGCTTAAAGTATTTGAATGTGAAAGTTCTCTGGATGTGGTGTAAGGTTAGTAGTTCCCACAACATTACGCAGCAAATGTAGCTCAAGAATCCTCTTGCTGAGCGCTTTCTAAGCGAGACATGTGTCCTGGCCCGAATATCGAATACCCTGTTGATAAGTGCTGTCGCCAATCGCGGAATTGCGCTTAGGAGTTTTCAAAACTAATTTAGAGTGGAATCACTGACACTGGCCATATTTTTTATTCGTCGACGATTGGCCATGGCGTGCTCGTCCGTGTCATTCGCGCCAGACTACTTTTGTGGCACGAATTCCGTCAGGAGAGAAGGCGGGGGTGGAGGAAGGCTGGGAGGCAGGGCGACGCACATCTTTAGTGATTCATCACAACAGGGGGTCGTATTTTGCCGGATGGAGGGGGGGGGGCTCGTAACGCATGGCCCATGTTGAAGTGGAGAGAGCGGTGATACACGGTACAAGTAAAAAGAAGCTCAAAAGGGACGATGTAGATGACAATAAATAGAACTAGGCACTATCGAACTATTCCTAGGCCAAAAACTAAAAAAAATATTGCTGAAACTTTTTCCTCCTTCCTCACAAAAAACTTCAAGACACTTCGCCCCCCAACCCTCCAATCTCCCAGTCTGGTCTAGAGTAATATGCCAATCCACTTCGCAAATCTCGAACAGAGAATACGCATTGCAAAAGCTACTCTGAAACCGTAGAAATTGAATCGCTGAGAATTCACAAACAAAACAAACTCAACAAAACAATATCAAATCAACAAAAACAAACAAAGTAATTCACAATAAAAAGGATAAGAAAAAACTCACCGCTCAGCTGGGAACCGGAACTATGGATTACTTTTGAATTTTGGCTGTTCGCGGTCAGCGCGCTCATACAAGCGCATTGGTGCGCGCTATTTTACGGTTTGGAGCCAATTTCAAGCCAAACACGTGAAAAGTACCCCTCATTTGAACACCCATAACTTCGTTGAAAGTGAAGCTATCGGAGAGGGGTAAGTGGGAATGAGTAGAGCTAGGTTGGTCTCTTATCACCTGAATTAAGCGATTTCAAAAACGGTTCCCGTTCCAGAGATTTTCCCGTTGTGTTGCATTCTTTGTGATCCATCTGTGATCATTTTTGCGAAGCCGCGAGTCGCTAAGCGTTTTTGGACGTCCATGGCAAGCTTCATACACGACCTTTCGTAAAAAAAGAACTGTGCCGGAAGCTTGAAGATTTCTACTTTCCCAGCAAGGTTTTAATTTCCTTCCTAGACCTACTATTCGAAAAAATTCCCCGTTGTGATCATTTTGTAATCACCCCCACGACACCGAAAAATCAACCCCTCCGAGGCCAGGAAACCTCCAGTTGGCTCGAAGACTTTGGTATGCTTCTAAAACACATGTTTTCGCAAAGGGTATCAGGAAATAGGCCATTGGGCGCCAATTGGCATCACCTCTGCAATGCGCCATGCATGGGGCTTTCACGCAGGTGTTTGGAAGGTGTAACTTCTAGATAGGGCTTCCCAATTGCAAGCAAATGTGCTCTTGCAATCAGAAAAGTCCGGGAATGTTTTTTCCTCTGTTTATTCGTCAGTCGTAAGTCCTTTCCATTGTTTATAAATTCATGGTGTCCTTGTGGGCGGTGATCGTAGCTCCTATCATCGCCCCTTCCTCGTACGTATTGTCAGTATGCTACACCAGCGCCAGAGTGCTGGACGTGCTTGGGACGTACGTAGGTACTGCGACCCCCCTGCTCGACAGCAAAATTTTGTAAAAAACCAGAAACTTTTTGGGAAAAAATAGACAAAGTGGTAGGAGGTTGGAAAAATCTAGGGAAGAGGTAACGTGGGGAGGGGGTCGTACTTGAAGATGGAATTAGGGGGGGGGTCGTATTTTTCAGGAAATGATCACAACGCAATGGCGTGCCCTGGGCGGAGGGTCGTAATTGAAATCTTC